ATCTTAAAGCTGATGAGGTTGAGAAACATTGGTCTATAGCTTTTTGAAGAGGGGAATAACAATACTAGCATTCTGGAAGACAACCATGGATATTAATTAGATTGAACAAAGCAGTTGGAATCCACCATCTTGTAAAACATCTGAACAATTCTGAAGGAAGATAGTACTCCCCATGAGCTTTATTCAAACTTAAGGAATCTATCAACTGGTTTATTTTTGAATACATGAAAGGAGGCCAAGGATTTGTACTGGAAACTCACTGATTGGCATCATATTTTCTAATGACCTAGATTTGTTGAAACCATGAATAAAATGAGTTCCCACTGTGACAGTGGAATTTCAAAGTCCAACATATTTATTCTTAGTCCACCATGCATCAGTTGTCAGAAAGTTGTCATATCTTTTGAATGTAGAGCATGGGCAAGGGAAGACCAAATAATTTTTTGATAAAGCAATGCATTTTCTTTTAGAACTGATTTACATTATTTCTTTCTGCTAATGAATTTTGTTATAATGCCCAAGGCAGACCATTGTTTTACATTCCTTGCCCATTGCTTTAGTTCTGAGTAAGCTTTTCTGCATTTTGTATCAAATCAGAAGAACCTATCCTGTGGATCAAGCCTGCAGAAACATCTTGGATGAGAATTGGCTTTATCAAGTTCACAATCTGCTGATAAGGGACCTCAAAGTCATTTTTCATTGTATCAGATTTTAAGCAGTTCGCACCAGCTTGAAGAAGAAGAAAAGAACAGGGGCTCCAAGAAATTTGAGATACCATCTAACATGGCAGGAATATACATTGATTAGGATTAAGGATAATTTGCAACCAATCTCAGTCTGGAGGTATAAAAAAGAAGGTGCACAATCAATACAAATTTTATACATCTCAAAGGACCTTTTTAAACTAATTAACATGGCTAAGCCTCCACTAGCACACCCTTTATTAGCAATCTTTGTTGCTAGGGAAGTCCAAATTATTTAGCCCTGTATATATAAGATGTTTAATCCTGCAATCATGATTCCTAAATGCAAATATCATAACAAACAGTAGAAATTATTATAGTTCCTATGAGAAAACCACTCAGCCATATTCTAGGCTTTGATGGACACATGAGTCAAAGAAAAGAAGAAATTCTTTATAGGGGAAGAGAGTAATAAATCTTCATTAATGTTAGTTCTTAATAATAGATTGGAACCATTATGAGGATCAGGCAATCCTTCATTCTATACATTAATATTGCTATGAGACTGATTTAGATTCAAGGAAGCTTCCATCTTATGTGTAATAACTTCCTTAACTAGAGAGGTATCATACTTGCTGAGATCCTGTCTGGTGAGAGTTTGGTGGGCAGCACAATTAGGTTTTGGATCAATCCCAGAGGATCTTCAAGTAGATTCATTGTAGGGGTTTCCATCATATCCCAGATTAGCATTTCTATGATTCCCCAGTAGCTCTCATCCTGAGCTTGATGGTGGGTTACATGGTGGCGTCATTTCCTGAAGCAAACTGAAGGAGCCCTTATATTTCTCTGCATTGCCTAAAGCCAAGTCATTGTGATTTCCAGGTCAAACAATTCTTGGTGTGATTGCCAGCTGATCCTATTCTGTAAATTCAGGAGGTCAATAGAATTGGAATCAATCCCTTATTCACATTTATGAACTGTATATTTTGTGACCTTGCATCACTATCAAAGAAATCAGTGAGAGCCTCATTAATTAGTTTCTTTTAATAGACTTGATCTTTGAATTAAAGTTCTCTTCTCGGGGAAGGGTGATGCCTTTTTACATAGTTCTGGGAATATAGGCTGTTTCATTAAATTGCTGGAATTTGGTATGGAATCTGAGGTAGAAGGCCTATAAGAGGTTCTGCAGCTAAATGTGTTACCATTAGTATCAAACAGGTACCTATAATATTTTGTTCTCACTTAGCCAAATTTCTGAAAGAATGAATTAGGCCAGTTTACAATTAAGTATCTGCACGCTTCATTTGGTCAGTTATCTTTGCTCATTTACTTATAATCTGCCTAGTCAAGGACACAGGCAGTGCTGGACCATTCTAATTGTTCTCAAGTGGCATGCTGTCCTCAGAACTGGAAAGGCTAAAATCAACAGAATCTTGATTTAAAACTTAAGTGTTCTGAAAGAAAATATAGTTAATTTGATTCAACAAAAACAGCAGTGCCTAGAACCTAAATACGTTCCTTTAAGACTGATCGTATTGATAAATACGATCAACTAGTGACTAAATTAGAACAGCACAATAAAGACAGAAAAGACATGCAAACAGGACGCCAAAAATTACACTCAGAGCAGAGAATTCAAAGGTTAGAGATAAAGAAGATGGAGGCCAGATTACAAACAGCAGGAACAGAACTGTGCAGAAACAATTTAAAATTCAGAGGAACATCAGAAGATTTTGCAAGAGGTGATTTAGAGAGAGAATGGAACATTTATTTAAGAATAACCTGCTCTGGACAAGAATCATTAGACATTCAAGAAATCTATAGAATAAACTCATGGGCAGCACACAGAAGAAATTTACTCTGTGATATTTAATTTACATATTTTAAGACAAAGGATGCAACACTGCAATGAAGTATATATGGGGGAACATCTGGTAAAATCTTGATTATATCTCCACATTTTAAAAGAATGGAGTGTGTGTGTGTGAAATTTATCATGAAATTTGGAAAAATGAATTCAAGATTAAGTGGAGAGATTTTTCAATTACTTTTACTAGACTGAACACAGAAAAATTACAATTGCTTCAATTTATCCTCCAAGTGATAATAAAACAAAATTTTATGAAAAATTCTTCTAATCTAATAACAAAGGGAAATGCTTTGATTTTTGGGAGATTAGAGTCTTTCCCCCAAATCTTGAAAATCTGGTTCATGTAAAAGTAATTGTGATAAACTCCCCATCCCATCCCCCAAAGTTTCATATCATATGTCATTACTTTCCCTTTAAATCTCCCTTAAAGAAAGAATATATTTATTCTTCTGTCACAAAACTTACTGAAGAATAAACATGTTCTGGATATCTAGTTCATTATTAAACAAACTTATAGATATGGAATTTATGGCGCACTCTTAAACAGATCATAATCCAATAATTGTAAGACTGCATAGAGGACTGAAAAGCTAGAGACTGAACAGACATTTTAAGATGGAGAAAGTTAAACTTATTCTGGTTAGTAAGAATACCAGCAGTAAAAGCAAATATTTTACCAAGGATTAATTTTTTTATTTCAAATTATTCTAATAAAAACTGAAAACAAGTTATTAAATGATTGACAGAAACAAATGACTAACTATATGATCAAATCAAAGGCCAAGGATTGAATTTAAGGTTTACAAGATGGTAAAGAATGAGATGGACTGGCAGAACCAGGTCTTAAATTATATTATCAAGTCAGCTGTCTAACTTGGATTTTGTTGTTGTTGTTGTTGTTGTTCAGTCA